GTGGAGTCCAAGGGTTTTAGAGAATGACAATACAATTTAATAAAAGGGTTATGATAAATATTGAGATTTAATGTGTGTATCAAATTTTATAAACTTTGGTGAATCATTTGAATAGTCTCACGTTTCAAAGAGGACGAGCTAATGTCGGCAACTATGAAGCGTAATAAGAAAATGCGTAGGTACGATCTTTGGTCAAGCACTTCGAACGCATTTAATAATTCTCATGAAAAACCAGTTAATAAGTTTAGTATGTGTAAATATAAGTTAATTACTATTGTTTTGTCATTTTCTTCTCGGATTAAATAATTCCAATTTATTGGAATTTAAATGTATCACCTACTTTATAATGTTTGTGTGGAATTGAAATGAATAAAAACGACAAGTTCTTCTTTCTGAATGTTTGAGATACTGGTGGTCTATTGCTCCATTTGACTCTAGGCTTGAGAAGTGGAAATGTTTCNCAACTTTTATTCGAATTTTTTTCCAAGGCTAAAAAATCATTACTAACATTCTATTTGGTGCGAAAACCTTTTTTTTTTTTCATTTTGAGTGACCATCGCATAATGAGGGTTGACAAACTGTTGACACAGTTTCTGATGATGTCCTATTGTCCGTTATTTTCAAGAATTTCGTAAAATTGCTAAATACAATTTATTTTTTACGAGATCACTGTCATTGGATTGAAGTCGTTATTATTAGTATATTTTTTTATAGTAATCTGAAAACACATTTATACAAGACAGGAAAGAGAAGTGACTTTTAATACAATAGGGCGAGCTAAAGAAAAACCTTATTTTATGTAATCATGTTCAAAGGTNTATCAATTTAAGATAATTATTTTGTTTTGAGATAAACATTGCGAATAATATTAAATTTAAGCGATGAACGGTATCATAACAAGGTCATGAAAGTTTTTCATATACACGTCACCCCGACAACTATTTGGATGATTTTACAACACGTGGTCTGAACAACAACAAAAGTTTGTTTTTTTGTTCGTTCAGTGTTAGTATTATTTACAGAATTGCTAAAAATTAAATTTACCAAGTTTTAATTTTTCGAATACGAGATGCACACACGTAAAAGTTCAATCAACGCGCGTGCTTAAGAAACGTTTAATTGCATTAAAAGATAAAGGACTTTTGAATGAGAATTGGGTACAAAGTGGTAGTGCAATTTAATTTACACAGCGACAACTGTTATTTTTTCAACAGTTTAAAGGATTCGCTAAGCTGTTATGAGATTGACGGTGGCTGTAAAATATGTATTAGACACTTAACTTAAGTTGCGTTTAAATTGAACAGCTGTAGTTATTTCCATAAGCTGCTTTATATTATTTCCTTTATTAACTTAAATAGGAATAAAACTACAAACTTGTAAATAAAATGTTATAAAATAAAAATAAATTACTACTTTGTGAAAGGTGCCACGATCGAATGAAAAGAAATAGAGTGTTTTTATACTTTTTGGCATATGAGTGACATGAAATGAACACCCTATTTGGGAACACCTTGTTTTATTTTTAAAAATATAGATTGGCGTGTAAAAATTCAAATAAAAATAAATGTTTGCCGAAATAAAATGTTTAATATATGTACGTATTACATACGCATAACCCATTAAACATCAGGTTCTTTTATCTGTGCGTTTGTGAGTAGTCATGTAAAATATTCACCTATTAGTATGATAAAAAGGTCTAGCTACTTTACTCATCTCAATAAGAAAGGATCGGATAGGCAATAAACACTACGTGTAACTAGAATTGATAAATAAATAATAATTTTTATACAAAATTTCACAAACAGTTTAGTCTTACCATTTGTATAGAAAATCATTACGCAAAGGTTATTTGGCAAATATATTGGCCAAACATGATATATATAATGTATAAATATATCATTGGAATGATATTTCTGTTCAGGTTAGTAGTGAATATTGATTAATATTTTTCATGGTGTACTGTCAGTGGATAAAAAATAAAGTGAATTAAAGTATATAAAACCATTGAATCACTTCAAATAAAAAATACCTTCTCAGCTTCGCATCAAAGCTAAAATATAAAATTTTCACAATTTTATGGTTTATGAAAAAATGATCAATTATAATTGAACTATTAAATTAAACTATAATTTACACTTATTTTCAGCAAAAAAAAAATAATATATTTACTTAGGAAATTTCTAGAATGCAAATGAATTACAGTTTTTAATGCGATTAATATTTTTTACAATCAGACTTTGAAAATTTTATAATTGTCTATGCGTTTAAAGATCCTCAAAATGCTTAAAACTACATTTTAATAAAATTTTCCTTTTGATCGCTTTTCGGGCTGTTAAACGAATAATCCGTTGTCGTACTTCACACAAAACACAATCATTTAACATTGTTCTAGTTGGGTAAATTCATTTCCCAAAAACACAACAGGCAATTAAAATTTTTCATCAAGTTTATTTCTCTCAGTGACAAAATCTAGTGTAATTACGAGTTTAATGGGATCGTTAAAAAACTATCGCATTAAAATTCATTTAAAATAATTTAAGTGTTCATATTTTTCGAAAAAAACTATAAATTTTTATTTAAAAATTAGTAATATTAAGTGACAACAAAAAAATGTTAGTTTAGAATTTAGAATTTCTAAATGCGTTCGTTTTAACTTGAATAATTAACGAAGATAATAAAATTCCTATTATTATTTCGCCAGTAAAATGTAGTTATATTTCTTATAAAACATTTAGTAATCCAGTACAATTTTATTAAATTTAATAATACCATAACAAAGTCTTGTTAATTTATTATGCAAATAAAAGTAATGTAATTTATTACTTTTTTTAAAAATACTCCAGAAAAATTACAAGAAATGTCTTACAGTTATATTCGCAATAAAACTTGGTACATTATATTTTCTTAAATTTATTTTATATTTTCATTACTACAAGTCCTCTTAACCGATTATTTGAATGGAAGATGCTTTTGGGATTGCTAAGCCCCACATGCATTGTCGTTTGCTGTTTTACGGCAGACTTCCTCAGATTCGATTTGATTTTATATGTTAATAAAATATCTCATGGCGAAAAACTACATGATACAAAAATAATAAAAGAAAATGCACATGTCTTGTACGTCGCGAATTTATCAATGGTTCTTTTTTCAACAAGCTATCATTTGTATTATTTTAAATAAAATAATTTAAGCAATATGTTATTTATACAGACATCTGTAATTAGTTATTTAAAAATAGTGATTTTTAAAAAAATTAGATATTTTTTAGTGTAATATATAACTAAAAATAACTTTTTAGAAGTGAAAGGTGTGAAAGAATTTCTTAAAATATTTTTTTTTAATTAAAAATTGTTTGTAATAATTAAATCGAAATTATTTGTGCATTAAAGTCGTCTTGGTAAAAATGTAATTTGTTAGTTATTTATAATTATGTTTTCTCAATAATAATGTTAAATTAGAATGTGAATACGTATAATTTTTTACACTAATTTAAATATTTGTCGGTGCAAAATATCAAAAATGAGTAATTAAAAATATCATTTTTGATAGTATTTTATTTTAATATTATTATAATTATCTAATTTTTTAAGTGTAAAATTAAGATTGACACTTCGAAATATTTTAATAAGCATCCTTAGAAAGATTTGTAATTGCGTGTAAGTCACATCTAAGCCTATGGAAAATTTTCGATTTCAATACTATCATTTTGTAAGGTTTGTCTTGATTAGGCATGTAAAATACGCCTTTAAGTAATGACTAACGGTATTTTCAAGGCGACCCAAAATTATGCCAGTCAAAAAAGCAGGCACGTGATACAGATAAAGTAATTTTTCAAATAGAATTGTAGTACGGTAAGTATCACTGAGTCTCGTATCCTGCACTTAATAACCAATAGAAGAAAGATTATTGTATTATAAACATATATTACTAGTTGTTTTTTAGATAAATAAACAATTAATTTTTATATTCTTTAGACTCGGTCGATCAAATCGGCCATAAACAAAGTTTATAGGATAGGAAAAGCCTTCTGGGAACTTTATAATAAAAACAACTGTAAAAATAATACCATGACGCTGTACCAATCTGAAGTTTGTCCTGAATGCACTATGACTATTGTTTAAAATTTGTACATTTTGATGTTATGTTAAGCGACAGGATACAAATGTCTCCATCAGATTAGCTATAAAATTGTGCACTAAAAGGCTTATTGTTAAAATAGGGTAATAGTTATATTTTACATTTTAAGTTAAAAAATATATATTTTTGAATATTGAAATTTATGATTTCCTACAAATTTAAAACACTTAAGAATTTAAAAATTATTAAACTGCAATACAAACATATAAGATATAATTTTTAATTTATCTAACTCAGTTAATAGGTGAGATATATGTCATTATATGTGTGATACTTTTTTGTTACAAAAAAGTTGTACACCAATATTTATGTATTCAAAGTGCCGTAAAATATAATGTAATACTTCATTGAAGAATTATTTATTTCATCGAATATCACATACTAGTCAATATCGATTGAAAAAACTTTGTTTTTTTCGATCGATTATTTAAAAAAACTTTACCTTAAAACTTTTTATAAAAAGTATAAAAAAAAGGTGAGCCATAGAAATAAAAAATATTTTAATTTTTAAGCTCAAACACGAGTCATATCAAATTTGAACACACTAAATAAATATTTATACTTAAAATTTAAGTATATTATTATTATGTTATTTAATAACAATTAAAGTTTTTGAATATGAATTCTATGTTATTTAATAGTATTATCCATTTAAACTGAACATTACTTTGGAACAGATTTTTAGGTTAATAAATTATAAATAATAGAGAATTTAAGTGATTATTGTTTGGTTTTAAAAAAATTATAAATAATATTAAATTTACTAATTTTATTTAATGATTTTATATTTTTACAAAAAAATTTATCACAATTTTTTCCGGTTTTTAAATGAAAAATAATAAAAACATGTTTACAAACATTAATTACATTACCTTTATTTCAGAAAAAAATTATATAACACAATGTCAATAAAAATTAAACATCATAATAACATATTAGCAATAGAACTTAATCTTCAAGTTATACAATATTACACAAAGATGAAAAAGGCTTCATGGTATGTACAATGACTTTGATACTATAAATGCATAATATACAAATAAAAATAATCGTTTATCGATGAATTTACATTTCTAACAAATTTGAGTTTATAAAATTATGTTTTATTAGAATATAATGATTATTTTTACTTTCCTTTTTCTGTAAAATATAACTAAAATAAGTATACTTGGTAAATAAAAAGTTAAACAACATCAATTAAAATATCTATAAGCTATCTAGAAAAAAATGGTATAAATTGATTTGCCAAAATGGTTATCAATAGGAGTGCATTTCTGGTAACTAAATAGTTCGCTGAATTTATTTGGGGTCCTCCTAGAAATTCGTCATAGTTTTAATAGAACGTACTTAAGTAATAAATGCGGAAAATTCAAACTATTGTATTTAAGATATGTATAATTTAATACTTACCAGCTCCAAGAACGGTCGATGGGCTCATCATTTGGGCGATTTTAGGAGAATCGTCGACGAGTTCTGTAACTGTGTACTTTTTGTACAGCTCGAATTGACTAGACTCACATCGTACTATCATTCGACCACCTGGAAAATATATTGGTCTAGCAACGGTTTCTAATCTGGATTTGCTGGTTTGCATTCCACCAGGTTCAGTCAGCACCCGGGATTTTATAACAACATGTTTTGTCATACTAGTAACCTATAAAAATAAAATTAAAAAATCTATAACTTTCTTTTTTTAAGCGTCAGTTAAAAAAATAACTACATTTTAGAAATAAGTTGTCTCTAAAAATTAATGTCGATTAACATTAAATCGACGTAAAAAAATTACATCTTCAAAGATATAACTTTGTTATGAGTAAATTTTTTCTTATCTCATTACTTTAATACCAAAATGAATCAAAAACACTTAAGGTACACGTGTGTCATAAATCTTAAAATGCATTATAGGTGGTGAGTGATTTTAAATTGCTTTAGTAACGCCTACTAAATTAAGCTTTATTAAGTTCAACGTCATTATAAATGTTCTAAATTACACAACGCTGGAAAAATATTATTGTTAACAAAGTGGTTTCTACACTTATATTTTCGACCTAAATAGCCTCCATAGGAAGCCCAGTTAATGATGTTTCTGACAATTAACTTGTCTTGGCAAAATTGTAAATTCATTGGTACACTAAGAAGAACGAACTTACTCACATAAATACTCCAAAACACCTTCCAAGAATGCCATTTGAGTATAGATTTAATCAGCAGCATAACTGGAAATTATCCAAATAGAATGAACTGGGAACTTATCAGGGTAATCAAAGGTGTAAGCCTCATACATTACAATATAAAAAAGCTTTAGAAAATTATTTGTGTTCTATTACCTTACGATATTGTAAAATTATACATTTTTGTATAAATGAAATATATGGAAGGGGATGATATTTAAAAAATGTTAGAGTACAAAAGTATAGTTAATTATATAGTATTTATGCAAAAATACCAGTTTCAAAAAACCATTTCATATCCATATAATTTTTGAATATTCAAGTTAGTTATAAAATATGTTACAATAAAAAAAATGATATAAAATTATTAAAATGAAATATATTTTTGGGAAGATACAGTAACACGAAACCATTTATAATTCTTAGATTTTGTAGTAAAATTCAAGATACAGGTAGATGCTTTAATATTAAAAAGAGATCGACCGGATGATCCGGCAGCTTTTTTAGAAAGCTTTTTTTAAACCAGCTGACGATAGAAAGACGGCGGCAAAGATGGTTAAATCCATGACAACGAAAAAGTACTCCAAAATTCAATGTGTGGGCTCGTTTACGTTATTTTGGCTGTTAAGTGGAATCTACATTCGTATTAATGTCGAGGTCTGCTTTTCAACATCTTTGCGTCGCTTTGACAAGTTAAGACTAGAGAGGATTGTAAATTTTGTTTTTGGTGGTGTAATTTTGGTATGACAATTTAATTTTTCATGTCATTTTTCTTCGCTATATTTTAAACTTTAATATTTTTGATGTTCATATCATAAGTTATTTTTTTGTTTTACATGATTTTTTCATTTTGATTAAAATTTAAAATAAAGTTTACAAGACTGGCTTACAATTATTTTCGAGAACTTTTTTATATTTAAAATTAACTAGTTTTTAACTATGCACCTATAATAGTGTGTGGTGTTCACACTACGTATTTTAGTGTATAATAATAATTATTTTTAGCATTAAAATTAAAATCGTAAAATACTAACTTAAAATATATATTACCACATCAATTTTTAAATGTAAACAAATTGTGTACAAAATTATATAAGAGAAAGTTTTGATAAACGTATATCTAATGGTTCTGCTATGCATAAAATATAAAAAGAATTTTTGTATAGTATAATTTATTGTTTGTTTAGTTAATGTGTCACATAACTGTAGAGCATATACTAGTTATATATAAATATTTTTAAAAATATATTCACTTATTTGAAGTAGGATAAAAACACCATCAATGATTAGCGTTTCATCTAAGGCTAAAAATAAGTTTTCCTATAACAAATAGTGAACAATCTTCATGAATGACACTACCAAAATAATATCATATTTTGTTATTTGTAATGATAATCGAAGAATAAAGTATTAATTATTGTAGTTTATAAAACTTAAACGAAAACATAGCCATAAATGTATTTAAGAAATCATAGAAAACATAAATCATTTATATTAATTTTCAAACTTAAATATACATTTTAGTTCAAAATCTAACTTCCGTTTTTTATCAAAATTTTTTAGATCAACTGTACATTGGATTTTATTTGATAAATTGTCTTTAAACAAAATTGTGATGTAAAAGTCATTTATCTGTGAAAATCAACTTAAGCTCATTGTATATAAGAAAAAAAATAGTCAATATGCACAAAANATCAACTTAAGCTCATTGTACATAAGAAAAAAAATAATCAATATGCACAACATTTGGTATGCAGTTAAAAATATCATAATAAAATATTTTAGTGCATTAATTTTTCTTATAATTTAGTATTTACCCTTTAATTTTATTGTGTTTGCTTAATATAATTTTTATTTTTTATTTTAAAGCAAAAGTGTTTTACTAAGGAAATACCTATAACATTTTGTTTTGTTCAATTACTTAGATAATAATAATAAATTTTGAAAGAATTATGAAACCATTACAATACTTTAAAATAATATTATATTTTTGCGTATTGAACGTCAAATAAATAACAGTCTAACAATAAATAAAAAAATTCGATCACATCATACAGTACTTCATTGTTGGACCAAATTTTACGCAAAACAATAATTTAAAATCCATTATCCAGGATTATTTATTTTATGCTGTGTAGTGAAAAAAATCTCATGTATACCTCTCCTTTCCAAAATACAATCGTAGGGTAAGTGGCAATTCATCGATTATGTTTTGAGATAAACTGCCTGTTCCAATATTCGGTTAACGCGCACGAAAATTATTAGGATTTTAGACAATTTTAACCACATAACAACTGACAAATGTTGAAATAAAACTATAATAAATATTCATAAAAAAGGTTAAGTTTTTAATTGCATAACGGTTAACACCAAGATGATTATATTTCGGTAAAAAAAGGATTATAAGTTTTAATTTTGAACTTGATATCCTCAAATGATTTTTAATTATTTGGTACTGTTAAAAATAATCTAAAATACCTAAATACTTTTTCATTCAGTATTAAAAAATATTTTTTAGTATTTAATTTGTTGTCTGAATTCATTTATAAATGCATTTAAGGTAATTAATATAAGTACTGCAATAAAAATAAATGGCTGTTTTATGGCGCGTTAATTAAAAAAATAGAAAATACTCTCATTTTATTTGTTATACTATTAAATCAATATAAGCTAAAGATGTTATCAACAATATTTAAAGTAAAAAAATATTATTATAAATTACAAGGACTTTACCTGGGAAGTATATACTGGAAATCTTTTTGTAGAATATAAATTATGTTTACAATATTTCAGCGATACATTTTTTTACACGAATTTTACAACTACAAAGATAAAAGAATAGAGATAGTGGTTGTTTGTAAATTGATATTGATGGATTTGCGAAAAATAGGATAAACAACATATTTAAAAGCTCTCACAGAGAAAGTAATTATTTTCATAGTTACAAGATGTTGTTATATCATCAATTTTGAAATTCGTTTATTCGTTTACAGAAATTCTTCTTTATATAAATTTATTTTAGGTATCTATTTGTAATGATTGTAAAGTGTTCAATTGTTTTTAAAATTCATTTAATACTCATACTCAAATAAAATATTTGGACATTTTTCTAAGTAGTTTTCTATCAAGTATTAAAATACATTTAAATTATTTTTAATTTTTTTACTCAACAAATTTTCATAAAAAACATTTATTATAGACGTTATACCTCGTCACATATAAAACAGTACTTCACTATCAATTCTCTATACAGATGTCTACTAACATGACTACTACTTTATAAATGTTATTTATCTAAAGTATTATTTTTTGATGTGAAATACCTACTTATCAACACTAAAAGTACAGGTAGGCCTTATAAATGAATGATATGACATAAAAAAGTTTTTAGTAAAAGAAATACCGATGACAGAAAAATGAAATGTTAAGTTATATGAGCCTTTAGTTGAAATAATGTTTGCTTTTTATGTTGAATTTAGTGGAAAGCTATATATAGCTGCCTTCTTTAAGATATCTTTGATTTTTATTCATCTTATACAATACAAAAGAATTTTTTATTAGCTTTCAAATATACAATATCTAGTTTTATTGAGTTATTAATGGAAAACTTTTTACCTTATAAATTTTTTAGTCAAATTTAGTTTAATGTCAAGAGCAACGCTCTGTAATAGTAATTTCTGAAAATTTAAACTGTTTTGCTTAATTACCTCATACTTTAAAAGTTATATTGAATAGCATTGTATAGGTACTATTTAGTCAAAATTTACTTATAAAAATGACATGATTATTAATTTATCATCGTACATGTGTAAGCTTAGTAATACAATTTTAAATGCATTTAGTCAGTATAATAGCATACTATTATGAAGTATTAAACAGCATTATGTAATAATGTTAATACATTAGGTTGTTATAAACGTAGATACGGTAAATATTTGCTTGTTTTGTAAGTTTCTGTACTTTTGAGTGATGAGTCGTATTAATATCTAATAATAACTGTTATGTTCAAAGGAGCAAGAATTAAGACGTAGTGATGGAAATTATTTATGTGATCTAACTTAAGAGCACTAGCATTGTTTAAAAAGCAAATTACTTAAAAATATTTTTGCTTTATTTTAAGTTTAAAAAAAAAAACTTCCTTTAAAAATATAGCTGAGTATTAATTTTTTCATATTCATATAATACAGAAGCAACTACATAATAAGTTGGTTATTGTATAACTTACTTTAACATCATTAATGTACCACGTTAGGTTAGTGGCCGGAAATCCTGAGTATGACGTGCAGTTAATTGCAATTGGTTCGCCTTTACTATATTTGAGTTTTCCGGCAAAAACAATTGGAGGAGACTTAGGCTCTTCTATATTTTTGTAAAGAAAAATATGTACACTTTAAAAACTTAATCTAAGTACAATAACATTTTCTTGATTTAAAAACTAACCTATGATGGTGATGAATGATTCCTTTATTTGAGTATGAAACAGTGGTGCATCTGCTGACACTTCACATTTGTAATGACCAGACATATCACGTGGTAGATTGTTCATAGTAACTGCGTGATCATCTGACTCGGATATCTATAAAAATAAAAAGTTTATTTGTTATTTATCACTACTAATGTGTTGCAGTTTTATGTACAGTTGATATAGGTCTTAACATAAATTTGTTTTTTTTTAATTAATTAAATTTAAATATTATTCAACTATCAATAAATTAGTTAAATAATTTAATTGCATGTGATTAAAGGTAGATTAAGGTCGTTTAGAGGTACATAGTTACAAAAAAAAAGAAGTATTACTCTTATAGGTATAAGTTTGTATAGGTTTTAATAAATCTTATAGGGATACTGGGTAATTGTAATGAGAGATAAGTGGATTGACTTTTATTACGCCTCTTCATAAAAGTGCTGAATGACACAAATAAAAAATATACATAATGCTCTACACGCAAAAAAAGAAACAAAAACAAAAGAAGTACAAAATTTAATTTAATTAAAAAAATAGGCTAAAAATTATTTAAAATTATAGATGTTTAAACAAAATTTTATTTAAAGTTGGTACATATTAAAAAACTAACGCACAGAGAAAAAATATAGAACTATATAATAAAAAAACCAAAATGTTATTTTATCTAATGCAACGTATCAATTTCTGTTATGTGATTGATATAATGTACTTTATAAGAAGGTTTTATTTAAAAAACGTCAAAATTTTTCTTTTGAAGTGTTAAAAAATATAATCATAACGCATTGCTGATATATTTTTATTACTGTAATATAAGATGTTTGTCTATATATTTATTTAAACTCAAGATATAAAACATTCGTCCAAAATAAAGAGAGATTTTATGAATGCATATTGGCAAAGTTATTCTGGCTTCTTAGCACAATTTTTCCAACCTAAACAATATTTCTTTGAATAATGTAGATTACACATTATTATGATTTACATGTTTCAGATAAAACCCATCAAAAAAAAAAATATATATATATATCTATACATAAATATCAACTTTATTTTTCAATATTTGGAAACAACAGTAAGCAAAACAATTTAAAGGTCCCTAGACAAATGGTTTTGGTTTATAAATTGTAATGAAATATCACAAATATCCCAAAATAACAGTAACCAAAGATTTAAACATAAATATTGTTGGGGGAAGTCTATATGGCACAAAGAAACTTTGTCTTTGTAAGGGCGTCTAGAGATACATTCATCCGAGCACCAAAACTTTGCTCACTATGCGATCATATAATATTATTATATGCATGAGAATTTTTTACTACTCAATTGGAAACTTGAGAACAATTCGTGTAGTGATCGTAATATTATCTCAGTTATAACTAAAATGTGTCAAAATATGTGAAACTATGTCATAAAATAATTATCAAAAATAAAATATAAAAGCTAATGTGTAATTATTTGATATTTTCTAGTTAGTACTCTGCAATAATTAGTTTTATAAACAATAACAAGTTACTATCTACGAATAATTTGTCTTTTTTACACTTAAAAAATATTTACATATATTTGAATTTTTAACATAATTTTATTCGTTTCTTTAAAAACTTTAAAGTTTCAAATTGTTAAGTTAATATACGAGGGATTACAAACATAGTTAACTAATTGGATTGTTACGACTTAGCTATTCGCTACAATAAATCTAGTAAAATTATTGTATACGGCATACAAAATTAAACTTTTACAATTTTTTTTAACGAATAAGCATTTTCTGAAGAATAAAATGAAAATAAATCAGTAAAAATAAAGAAAATTAGTTATGACTTATTTTTATTATGTGTTTTTTTTTTTATGCAGTAAAAGTGATTTTGTAAGCTATTTATTAAGGAAACAACATTAAAGTTATAATTTTTAAACTTCTTATAAAATTCATTTTACGTGAGTTTTACTTTCAAAATTCCAAGTTAAGTACAAAAAAATGTATGAGATATAGATCAGTTATTTCTATTAAAATTGACTCACCAAGAAGCCTGGTGCATGGGTTAATCTTAACGGATTGGTTCCAAGTTTTTCACAGCTCATTTTTATGAGCGTTAAAAAAAAAATTAAGAGGTAGCGANTTACTTTCAAAATTCCAAGTTAAGTACAAAAAAATGTATGAGATATAGATCAGTTATTTCTATTAAAATTGACTCACCAAGAGGCTTGGTGCATGGGTTAATCTTAACGGATTGGTTCCAAGTTTTTCACAGCTCATTTTTATGAGCGTTAAAAAAAAAAATTAATAGGTAGCGAAAAAAAAAAAGACATTAGATTTTTAAGGGCCACCATCAAATATATATACTGTATATTTGTTTGAGGAAATTGAAAAAATAATAATTTATGATTTTTAAATGCTGTAATATACTAACATCGACAGATGCTGTGCCTGACAATGGAAATACTCTAGTCGGTGGTGATTCTTTTGGCACATATCTGTAAAATTCTTCGTCGCCGAAATACCATTTTATTGAATATAAAGGTGTTCCTTCAAGATTATAATCACAAGATAAATGTAACGATTCTCCGGCACGAATAGCTTCCGGATTCCACATTCTTACACCGGAGAGACCAAAAACTTCTAAAAAAGAAATAACAATTTTAAGTTAAATGTTCATATTTTATCTTATTATACATTTACATGCAGGATAATTATTTTAACGTTAGTGACTGAATTCTCTTAAAATAATAATTATATTTAAGAAGATTATTTTTAGTAATTTTTAAGGTGACAACTTTATTTTTTGAAATGGTCAAATACATATTTAACTAGCTAATAAAATAAAAAATGATCTAATTAGGAAAAAACTGAATGAAGAAAATTTTTGAACCTTTTTTTTATTTATTTAGAATCTTTTTTTTTTCAATTTTTTTAAAATATTTATGTATTTTCATTTATATTATAAAATCATTTTAAATATAGGCTTATCCCTATTATTAATGACAACATACATATTAAACTAACTTAGAAAATAGAAAATGATTAATCAAAAACTTAATTAAATAACTTCGGAAGTTATTCTTATTTTCATATCCAAAAGTTGTTATCGACCTTAATTAGATTAACTTTCTTAACTTAATTTTCTATTGTGTAAGCTAGTTTAATACTATTTAAGAAAATAATGCTGACACCTCTTTAAGATAAATGATATGAAACTAAAAATTATTTTTTAACTGATTTTAATGAAAAAAAATATGTAACTAACAAATACCGAAAAATAATATTTCAAAAAAGCTAATATTTTAAGAGAAATTGAGTGGCTAGTGTTAAAATAATCTCTCTGTATATTCAAATAATTTTAGAAATTATAACTTAAAAAAGTTGATTTTATTTTACTCTTGTATTTACAAGAAACCTATTGTACTAAATGTCATAAGTTTTGGGTTGTTTGACAACAAGCGACCAATGATTTTTTTCTATTTTGTATTATAGTTAAAATTTTATATTTTTATTTAAATACTCTGATAACATGGCAAATAATACATTTGTACAGAAGATTTCAAAATGAACAAAAGTAAATAATACCATAATATTCAAAGAGATTTTTTTTTATGAATTTGTATTTTTTGGAAACATAAGATGTTATTTTATAATTTACATTTTAATAATTAAATTAAAGTTCAAATAAATGATTTGGGATTAAAATAAATCATTTAGTTGAAAATTAGTTGCATTACATCTTATGTATAAAAAAATCTAAAAGTTGAACGTTAATTCATATTAATGACAGCCTCGGGCAATAAATGTGAACAACTTTTTAACGTTGAAGCAATACACAAGTTTCAGTTATCAAATTAAAGCAGTGAAAGTTTTGCTGTGAATATTACAAATAAATTTTTATTAAAACTTTTTTGTCCTGAAAAATAGAGTATGTACATAAATTAATAGTGTATTAAATGTTTTTCATAGTATAAGTTGAGCGTTTGTAATAATTTTAAAAAGTAATAAGCATTATACCTTTAGAATATTGAATATCTAAATTCAAAGACTCGCATGTTACAATTTTTATTATATGTGGTAATATTGTAAGTGATATTTTTTTGACGAATAATTTCTTATAATTTCTTATAATATAATATAATACGGCATATAATATATGTTATTTTTCCTATTTAAAATTAAAAATTATTTTAAAACATTTTTAAAATTAAATTTTCTGGGAAAATAAGTAAGGCTTATAGTTAAAATACAAATACAAAAATAAAAAAGAGAAAACAATTTTTCGAGTTTTTTCCAAAAGATTTTTCTAAATAAAATTACCTTAACCATTAAAACAATATTACAATTGTAGTCTGTACAGAAAAAAAGTCAAAATAAACTATCTTTTAGTTGATTAATAAAAACTATTTATCGTTAATATAGGAATATTCCGGTTTATTATTAATTATTAATATAATTTAATATATATTAAAATAATTTATTATTTAATAAAATGGTAAACTTTGTGTTATTTTTATATCAAATACATTTTGATGTTAATATTTTAAAATAAATAAATAACTGCTTAATCTTAGTTTTTCCTAAAAATATTAATTTTGCAAGATACTATATTACAGCTGTATATATTTATAATAAGTTGGTTTGTTTCAGACAACCCACTATTCCCAACCAAATAGAACGACCAACAATATTTATAGTGACTCTCAAATGGTAGTTTTCAGTTACTGTTAGTGAATTCCTTGGACCATCTTTCAAATAGTACTTCAGTAGGGTAACAGACTAGGAAGGATTACAATGATTTTGGATAATAGAAATTAACATTATAACGTTCATTCTACCAACCAAAATCCCGGAACTCATATAATCATCATATAGAACTAATGGTATTCATTGTAAATATGAGTGGTAAAGTCGACATTGGTTCTATAAACTGTTTCGCTTAAAAATGTAAATATACGTGTATTTTTATGAGTGCTTTAAAGAGAAAAATGAAGGAGAGCCGGGTTAAAAAAATCCTTTAAGCACTTCCTCCGCGGAGTTGCATCATTCTTATCATTTCGTATATCTGGTTACGGTTAAATGGATTCGCATTCATTGTAGTTCACCATCCTCTACGTTAATCTCTAGACTGCCAGTTCTTTCACTATAACCCTGCGCCTCTATCGTTATAGTAACAACCTCCACCTCGTGACACTCTTATCTGCCATTTTTAAGACTTAACCGCGTTAAGCCTCCTTTGCGAATTTATTTACCACCTTTTCTACCATCGAATATAGTAGATTTAGAAACGATATTGCTGCTGAAGGAATTAATTGTGCTGCAAGTTTAATTTATTTTAACGCTTTACAAATTAGCAAGCAGGTAGATGGCAACAAAAAGAAGATAAGTAAACGTCTTCTTGTTTTTTCATTAGAACAAAGAAGAGTTGATAGATAGTTGTTGTCCAGTGTCGCAAATTCTTATAGAAATCAAGAATACCTAATCCAGAGACAACACGCTAAGAGAAAGATTTTATAGGCAAAAATGTTCATATTAGGATGTAACTTTTAGCTTCATGCGTAACTGAGAAGCAATTGGTTTTACTCTGCCGAGTTTATTTTTGTGTTTGTAATCTAAATTAATCAAATTTTATTCAATTGGACTGAGTTTGCCCAACTATACTTCTAAAGACCATAAATTGAATCTTTTTAAAGCTATAGTCATCATAATTTTGAAAAATTCCCCTCTATCTTTGTAATAAAGGAAAATATCCTAAACAAATACAATTGTTACAAAATAGCCCATATTAATATTTAAGTTTTTATTTTATTTTATAATATCTATTTGAAAACTAGACAGATTATTGCAAAATTTAATTTGAATTTATTGTTTATTATAAAAGTTCTCAAACAAAATTTGCTATAGTATTTTAGTGTTAAGTAATTATAAAATTTATTAAAATTTTTCACTTAAATTTTTGTTTACAAATTTCATTAATGTCATTTGAATAATTATATAATGCTCATAGATTTATATTTATTTTTGTTTTATAATTGGATATTGTGATAAAGTGTTTTTTAAAGGTTTTTAGAACTTAAATTTTTCATTAAATTGCATAATTTTAAAAATATTTAAATTTTATTAAGATTTTAATTTAAATCGAAATTATGTTAAAGTTATAGTTTTTTTTTATCGGTGCTTACATGTTAATACAATGCAAAAAGGTAAATCTGCTTTTGCTGATATCGAATGTAATAACTCTTTTGAAATATCTTGAAAAATGGTAAAAAGAGACTGCAGTAGATTGTATATTGTATTTAAACGAATGTCATTATATAAAATCAAGTCGTGCGAAAAGTTTGCATGGCAAAACTACGGCTGTTCTTTGAACCTTATAAAAGTAATTGAAAAGCCATACAACTATAGCTCTTGGCTACTAAGCAAATGGTTTAGTTTATACAAATAGTGTGGTTGGTTTGCCGGCTAAGAGACTTTTTAATTATGTTTTCAATAAATAATATTAATAAAAGCGCTATGAACTGGTGAACGAAAATTAATCTTATTGGTAAACACAAAAGACGGTTAGAAAGAAACTATTAGGTTTTGTACGATGAATATTATTTGTGAACCGTTTCGAATCCAATTCTACCAGACACAGTACGTGCTTTATGAGCTGTGACTTCAAAGAGGTTTTGCACGACAAAACTTTCCGCTTCTCGAACGATTGTCAAACGTATTATCAAAACTTTAAGTCTACTTTGTCAGCAGTTTCGATGAGTCGTTACTAGAGGTGAGGCAAACAGTGCCGTGGTTTATGAGTAAAATCATTAAAATGGTAGCTTTTGATTAGCATCCGAAGGTTTTTATTACCGAGGCTTTCTACTGCTTAACATTAGAAACTATACAAATTAGTTGATTGCTCATTGAAGCTAGAATAATACGCTATTTTCACATATGTCAAATTATACATGAGTACAAGAGGATTCCATCTCTGATATTTCCACCTCTTGTAGTGAACGGTTATTAGCTTACAAGTTTATCTTACTTTTGGTAGCAATAAAGTTTTACACAAAGCAGTTATTTGCGCGATAAACGAATTGTTATGATGTTGTATCCATTGATGGTCATAAATAAAAATGTTTAATAACAATTTACTAGTTTTTGAACTCAATACGTTGTAAGCTTTGAATGGAATGTTAGAGCAAACGGTTGGGCGTAACATTGACAAATCTAAACTATTATATTACACGGCAAATACAAACTTGAACAATAAAATAAACGTGTGCAGTCCATAAAAGTCTTATCTACACTCTATATTCGACAAAGTCAAGCTATAGAAAATAATCAATGTCAAACGAAATCCCGTAAATACGGTGACCAATGGAATGAGAACATATGATGGTAACTAAAACTGGCATTATTTATTTCCAATAATGTAAAATTAAGATGAAGTCTGACGTGAAGAGTATTAACTATTTTTGTTAACGTCATATTTAGTACCGAAAAATAAGTTTGTTTTGTTTTTAACTCATTTAAATTGTGTCAGTTACTAAACAAATTGTTGTGACAATATATTTTTTTGTTTTAAATTTTAGTGATTAGTAAATAATTGTATTTGCATTAATCTAATCTAGTTAAAAAAGTATAAATTAAATGTAAAT